CATTACAGGTGTTTGTAGGAAGCGCTGTATCAGATTTCAGTTTTATATGCTGTTGTAACACTTCCAAAACATTTTCCGGTCGTCCACATTTAAATTCATATGGTTGATCATAGTCAACTTCAAAAGCAAAACAATTTTCACCGGTACCAAACCTAAATTTTGATCATATTCACAGTTTCGATTAATGTTCAATTGTAATTTATATTCGCTATTCTATTCGTTATTTTCTTCTATATCGAACTATCATTAATTTCAAAGTGTATCTTAGGATAGAAGTAAATTAAGGATGAGTTTATCTTAGATATGATTAATATTAATTTGAATATAGTAATTTATTCTCAAATATAATACAAGTAAATACAGTAAGTTTCAAGAAGTTTCGATATTATAATAGAAGTTCAAAAACTCTTATTTACTTCTGGATCCTATATCATTCAGTGTATACAGTATACACGATACTTTGATGTACTTTGAAGAAGTTAAAATATTGTAAAATCTTATAAATGTTAGAAGAGAAAACAAAAATGTATCGTTGTAATCGAATAATAACTTCTGTTTAACAAATGAAATATTTAATTTAAAATGAACTAAAAAAGATTTTTGCAAAAAAAAAAATTTTTTTAACAAAATAATTAATAATTAACTAACCAAGTAATTTGTGGATATGACCATGCTTCAATGCAACTGAATCCATTTTTTAGAAAAATAGAATCACCAAAACTAATCTCATAATTTCCTTCCGGAATTTTCATACGATGTATATTTTTGTTACTTTCTAACAATACCGGTATACGACTTACTGAAGTTAAAATTATAGCATTTATATTGATGATAAAATTATTTTTGTCGAAGAATGATTTGAGAAAATTATGCAAATATCATTATAATAAGGAATAGAGAAAAAAAAAGTGTAATTCATTTTCCGTTTTTTCTTTTTTTTTTTCTAAATAAAAAACATACAGTCCCATGGAACATCATATTCATCGTTGGAATTTGTGGATAATGAAGAAGACGGATGGGTACCAATTGAAGCAAACTGAAATTTCCATTCTATTTATCATAATCGTTTTCCATAAACAACAAACAATTTTTAGAATATTACGATTTCATTTAAATTTTAAATATATTGCGATTTAATTTAAATATAAAAAAACCATTATTACGATTTGCATACTACGATTTCATTTAAATATTAAAAAAAATTATTCAAATGATATGATTACGATTAGTTACTACGTATCATGATAAAAAATTATGATATTTTATGATACTTTTCCGCACATGATTTTACACTTAAAATGATGAAAAACTATAATGTTGTGGCATATTTTTAAAAAAAGCAAAAAAAAAAAAAAACCTGGTCCGGAAATGCAATTTTACATAAAACATAATGCCATTCTTCCACATTTTCCACAGCAATTAGCAATACTGGAGCATTTCGTGGCTGAATTTGAATGATTCGGTTATCATCTAGAAAAAAAAATAATTTAAAAAAAAAGACAAATATATTTAAAAGTAAAAATAAAATTATCAATATATTCATTTAAAAAAAAAAGAAATAAAAGTCATAAATTACAAATAATCATAATTACTGACCGTAACCGCGACGAAATAAATAACATTAATGATTAAAAGTATAGTTATAATTGCGATACAACAATTGCAATAATAAAATCATTTATGGTTGTCTCAAACTAACTCCAAATATTTTTTCTTTCAACAAACAAAACGAAAAAAAAATCTTTTAAAAGTAACGAAACGAAATAATTTTTTTTTTTTAAATTTGACATTTAATGATTCATTCCCTGTAAACAACAGTTTCAAAAATTGAATACAACAATTCTTATTTTAATGAAATGAATAAAACGAAGAAGAAAATAATGATGTGTTCAATTTTTGGGAAAAAATTTCTAAATTTCTCTAAATAATAATGGAAAAATTTAGAAATCTACAAAAATAGTGGAAAAAATTTTTTTAAAAAAGCAATAAATTCTTTAAATAATATTTGTTTATGATTTGTAAACGTTTGATTCATAAATCTTAACAAAATCAACAAAAAAAAAAAGGTTTGATTCATAAAAATCATGAGGTAAATTAGTCTTTCAAGAAATATCATGATTGGTATCAGGTAATGTATACGGTTATCTGGCAGAAATAAATTGTAGACTGAAATATCTGATAAATCTAGGCCTTACTATATGTGTAATTATTTAATTAATAACAAAGTTGAAGTTGAAAATATTAAAACCGGTTAGAAACCTGTAGCTTAAAAAAAAAGAAAACATACTACTAATAATATTCCGGAAATGAACAATTCGAATAGCAACACATTCGCCTAGAAGTATACTTTTTGAAGGTGTTAGAGCGGCAAGTTGTGAACCTGAGGTATAAATTTCAAGACGTGCTCGACCCGTCATATTTTCTTCAAATACTGCACCTTTGAATCGTTTCCACTTCTATAAAAAATTTCGTATGAATGTATGCAAATTAAAAAATTAGTTTCTCAGTAAGTAAAGAATTATTTTTAGTTACTGTAGCAAAGAAAAAAACGATTTTCTTGCAAAAATAATGAACTTTAAAATTTAAATTTATATTTTGATTTTTTGTTTTTTTTTTTGTTTTGACAAAATATGCTTGGATAGATTTGTTGTCGTGCTTAATGGCAAGCTTGCTTTAGTGGAATTCAACGAAATTCAAATTTCATTTCTTCTTATTCTTTTATCTTATCATCTTTCAATTCCTGTTTGGCTTTCCTTTATTGAATTCAATTAATGAAGAAAAAAATAAATAAATAAATAATTTTTAATGCAAAACAAAAAAAAAAAATTGAATACAATATTATAAATAAAATGATAGCTGTGTAATAATAGCATTACGCTTATCATTCCATTTCATTATTTTTGTAGGAAAAAGGATGAGAAGAAGAAAAAAATGAAATATTTTACTCTTTCTTTCTGGCAAGGAAAAATTCCAATCTATTGCATTGATAATCAAAATTATCGGGATGACAAAAAAAAAAGAGAGAAAGAGAGAGAGAAAGAAAGAAAGAAGAAATAAATAATTCAGCAGAAAGCAAACACGAAATTCATATAAACATGAATTGATTTTTCGATACGATAAATGCTTTTGGCGTGAATATTTTCACGCCAAAACTATTTATTGTTTCGCTATGATAAAAATTGATAGAAGTATTTAAAATAAAAGAAAAAAAAAGGGCTTTATAGAATTTGAAAAAAAAAAAAGTGTAGCAGGACATAAAACGAATTGTAAAGATATAAATGATTTTTTTCTGTTCGTTATATTAGCCTAATTAATATATAATTATTGTAGTGCTGTAAATAAATAAAACTTGCTACCTATTAACAGTATAATGGATTTTTCTTTAGCACAAAGTATTTGAAATTTAAAAAAAATTTTCAAACTTACTGAAAAAAATCGACCTTGAAAAACATGTACTGTGCCATCATATACCGGTTCCATCGTTTCTAAATTTCAAAATAATATTATAAGTGAATATGATATTTTAAAACGTATTAACAATTGCAAATATTTTAACATGGTTTTAATTTAAATTAAAATCAAATTGATATTTTTGAAATTGTCTCAGTAATTCAGTACTGAATGTTACTTAGCCTAG